TCCTGGAATCTTGGGAGGGATGGTGTTTGGGATGCAGCTACCATGTGTGCAGTTCTGGGGGTGGGATTCAGGCCTTCACTATCTCTGTAGGGGCCAGCAGCCTCTACAGCTGACCTCACACCCAGGGACCTGGCTCCCTGTGGCCATACAAGCAGCCCATCAGCCAGCACCAGGTCCTACAGCCAGGAATGTCTCTGACATCAGCAGGGACAGGGATGAGGGGCTTGGGCGAAAGAAAAGTGCAGGCTGGCTGTGTCCCCTGGTGCAGGTGTGGCTTTGCACCCTGTTATATTTGGCTTTAGTGTTCCTCGTTTGGTGGGACTCTGGGTGATGGCCATGCTGGCCGCTGTTGGCTTGGTGCCTATAGGGGGCTCCAGGCACTGGGCTGGGGAAGGATGACATTGTCTCCTGCAGGGTGACTGTGAGCTGGTCCAGTGCCCCCTCTTCCACATGTGGATTGAGTGACTCTCTGGAGGTTGCAAGGCTGGACCTCACCTGCATATGGAAGTGCCCATCTGGGACCACCTGGTTTTAGCCTCTCATACCAGGCCCCATGCATGTCTCTTGAACCCCATATAGATCCAAGTTAGAAGTCTCTCTGCCAAAAGGACAAATGATTCATGTAGGAAGAGGAAAAGATGACTAGTACACAGTGGGATTCCTGAGTTCTGTCACCTCCACAGAGCTCAGAGGTAGAGGAGGTCACTGGCTCCTGGTGTCTGGTGGGGATGGGATGGTGTAGGGTCTGGAGTCCTAGAGGGAAAACCTACACAGGGGTATGGCTCCCGAGTTCACAAGACTCATTCTCAGAGTGGGGTGGGAGGTGGCCAAGCAGGCAACCCAGCTTGGGGTCACCCGCGGCCTTTCAGTATCCACATCCTCCCCCCCCCATCTGCACCTCTATCTAGGTATGGCTGGCCGAAGCCCCTTGGGAGATTCTGAGGCAAGAAGAACAGTCCTGTGAAACCCCCTGTGCCCAGCATAGGGCACAGCCAGCTCTCTGGAAATGTCTGAATGGATAATGTATGAATTCATGAATGAATATGACTCCCAAGCCCAATAGAGTTGTGGTGGGGAGGCTGGTATACATTCATTCACAGGACCCAAGTTGTCACAGGTGCTGTGGGAACACAGAAAATTTATACTTCATCCTCCTCTTGAGAAGGACTAAGGCTGTGTTTCCTGTCACATATGTCCAGCATATGTGCATTTCGTATGTTTTCACTACATATTATACAACTTGTAGACATGTGGTGTGCTATAAACATGCATACTCTCTGCAGCATGTACACATATATTGTGCCTTGAGTGTGCTCTACGTGCACACATATGTGCTGGGTAGATAGTATTTGCTAGTGAATTTGAGTGTGCTATAGGTATATATGCTTCTTGTGGTCTAATCTATATGCATATGGTTTATGCCTTACGTCTATATGTCCCATGTACATGTGTAGTAGAACTATAGTGCTGTTCATGAGCTTCTAAGGGTATACCATTTGTACTTTGTTATGAAGTCTCCGTAGATGTGTCTGTGTGTCCACACAGGTATTTGGGAATATCTGACACGTGGACTTGATATTTGCAGACCCTTTTGCACACAGTGCCTGTGATGCTTTATTGTAAGCAGACCCAATAAAAAAACACATGGTATATCAGTTAGGGCTTTGCAGGAAGTAGTACTCTTACACTGAGCAATTAGTCAATGGGCTATTTATAAACTCTTCTTGAAAGTGTGGGCAGGGTTGGGGGAAAGCAACAAGGGAGTGTGGTCCCAGGACTAACGCCAATGGAGAGCTGTTAATATGCCTAGGGTGCAGTTTCTGGAATGTCTGAAGAGTAGCTCTGCTGTAAGCCTGCTGGCAGTTGCAGCTGATTGCCAAGATTCTCCTTTCTTCCTTTCCTCTGACCTACTGGGGCTGTTCATTAGATAGATCCAACTGGAAATCAGAGGGCAGAAGGGCACTTGATGTAGCTTATATAGGCTAGCCTCCCAGGGTGGAGAGCAAAGTAGGGAGTGGGAGCATCTAGGTTCTACCCCCTTCTTCTACCCGGTACCACCTTCTATTTCCTGGAAGGCATCTTAAGTTCTGCAACTTGTCTGTTACTTTGGAAGGACTAGTCTTGTTCTACAGACTACTGGGCTCCTAGAAAATGTATTAATGTGGAAGGCCCCTGAAACTTGGTGACGTTCATTTCCCACACTCTCTCACTACATGTCTTAGTAAGGCATGTCATCAATGTAATGGAATAATGAGATATACTGGGAGTGTGTCAAAAGATAAAGTTCTTGCATTCTGTAGTATGACAGACAGCAGGAAAATTGATGTAAACTACAGGTTTGTTGCTGTCCAGGCCGTGAGAAGGCACACTACTTCTGATCTTTACTGGCAGGGATGGGATAGGATGGGGGTTGGGGACCCCGGCACCTGGTATACAGTTTTTGACCCAGAAAATGCTGTGTTGACCTCCTCCAGTAAAAATATCACATCCAGAACTGTTAGCATGATCACTTAATTAAGTTTCTAACAATCTACTGTTATTCTCCAATATCCATCTGGCTTTTGTATAAGTTCCACAGGTGAGCTATATGGAGATGTAGTGCGATTCCCACCCCTGCATCTTTTATATTTACCCTACTTGTTTACCAAGACATGCTCTACTCTGTCTTGAAGACCTAAGTTCCCATCTGGTATCTTTTCACTGCAGAAGAACAACTTTTAGTAATCACATTATATGGATCTCTTGGTAATGAATTCTTGTTTTATTTAATCTGAAAATGCCTGCTTTGCCTTCATTCTTGAATTGGGTTAACAATTCTCTTTTAATTCAAAGATATAATTCCACTGTTTCCTGGCCTCCATTGTATATGATTAAAAGTAAGCAGTATTAGAAGGTTGTTTCCCTGTATGTGATATATTATTTTACTCTGGCTGTTTTCAGATTTTCTCTTTGACTTTTAGCTGCTTGATTCTAATGTGTAGTTTTCTTTGTATTTATCCTGCCTGGGGTTAACTGAACTGCTTGAATCTGTAAATTTTTTTTTACAAAATTTGATTAATTTTGGCCATTATTTCTTATATTTTGTTTCCTATCTCATTCTCTCTCTCTTTTTTTTCCTTCTGGGACACCTTTTGATATTGTCCTACAGATTCATGAGGCTTTACTTATTTACTTTCAATCTTTATTCCTCCCTCTTCTACAAATTGGATAATCTCTACTGTTATTTCTCTTTCTCTCAGTTTTCCTATTTCCCCACCCAACCTTTCCTAGCCTGACTCCAAGTTGGTTATGTTATCTCTCCCCTCTTTTAAAGAAGTAAGGTTTTTGGAAGGGCCAAACCTCTGTGCTGGCTGAGGTAGTGGTACTGAGGGCTAGAGAGAAAGAGGAGAAGTACCCTAGAGGCAAACATGTGATGTCATTCCTCCAGTGAGCATTTGAACTGTGGGGCAGGTGGAACATGGCACATATTCATACCAAGAGAGACAGAGACTGGCTGAAGCCTAAGTGATGAAGCCCTGGTAGAGAAGCATTGGCTAGCACAGTGACAAGGCTTCCTGCAGGAAGTAGTGATAAGGGTAGAAATCTTGGGGTCTGGTAGGTCTCTACTGTCTATCAGGTCCTGGGCTAGGTGAATGCTGATCTCAGCTGATCCATACAACAATCCCACTCAGGAACTATTATTATCCTATATGAAAGATGAAGGAACCTGAGCCAAGAGACATTGTGTGGTGCCCAAGGTAACAGAGCTGGTTAAATGACTATGAGCATATCATGGGTCACATAAGGGAAGCCTTTCTTGATAAGGCAGAATTTTAGATGTTGAAAGACCAGATGTAGCCTCCAAATTCCCAGCCTAAACCTTTTTTATGATCCAGGCTTTTTTTTTTTTTTTTTTCCTGGACAGTATTAGTCCTAAACTTGAACTAGAACCTATGAGTCCTATGTTCCTTCTGACAGGGAAAATCCTATCCTGGTTCTGACATTATCACTGACCAGTGGTGACCCTACAACTAATTTCACCTTTCCAGAACCATCATCTAATTTTGAATATGAAGAAATATAGGCTCGACTTTGCATAATTGCTGTAGGGGATCAATGAAGTGGTATGCTGTTAAGTTACATCATCAAAGTATTTGCACACACATCTCCAAGGGTTGTCTTCCTCTTTTCTATAAAGTATATAGTGGCACAAATTTATTCATTCCTTTATTAAATAAATATTTTACTTTCTAGGTACAGAGGATAGGTGCAGCACTGGAAAAAAAAGATAGAAATTGTTGCTCTCATGGCATTTATGTCTCACTCCACCATTATCTCTCTTGATTCAAAGTCTCTGCTTTTAAGCCTAGGTCTTGGCAGTTGGAAACTCAGCTCAAATCCCAATTCTTGAAGAAATCAAGTTACCCTATTATGAATTAACTCAGTTTTCTTGCTAGTGGTGCTAGAATCATTATGTTTACTTTATAGGGTCGTTCTGAGGTTGGAATGAGGTGATGTATGTAAAAGGATTCAGCACCATGCCTGGTACATGACAGTTATTCTTTGAAGATTCACTCTTAATGTCAATCGATGGTGGGCATAGATAATGTTCTCCCTTGAGCTTGGTATTTTTGAAGTTTTCTTAGCTTACTGCTTTTTTTGTTGTTGTTCTTTTCTTTTTAAAAACTTTCTTTTGCTCTAAAATGACATTGGAATGTACCCCCCCACAGCCCCTTCCAAGGCCAAATCACAAGTGATGTTCCTTCATTGGTTCTCCCTGGTTCTTCTCTTCCCAGATTATAGCACACCCTAAATCTCCTCCTTCCTGAAGTGCTCCTAACCCCCTCCCACCCCAACCCTCTTGTAACTTTTTAAAAACTGGTTCCCCCTTGTTCTTCTCCTCCCTCCAGGGTATGGGCATGATCCCGCCCCCCCCCATGGAAATCCCCCAAATTCCATCCCCACCGAATTGCCAAATCTACCCCTCCCCACCCCAAACCTCAAGAAACCTCTTCTCACTGGCTCTCCCTGTTCTTCTCGTTTCCTCCCCGCAGGTTATGGGCACGCTGCCCCCGGCACCGACGCAGGCAAGGCCTTCTGCATGTTCTATGCTGTGCTGGGCATCCCCTTGACGCTGGTCATGTTCCAGAGCCTGGGCGAACGGATGAACACCTTCGTGCGTTACCTGCTGAAGCGCATCAAGAAGTGCTGTGGAATGCGCAACACCGACGTGTCTATGGAGAACATGGTGACTGTGGGCTTCTTCTCCTGCATGGGGACGCTGTGCATCGGGGCCGCCGCCTTCTCCCAGTGTGAGGAGTGGAGCTTCTTCCACGCCTACTACTACTGCTTTATCACGTTGACTACCATTGGGTTCGGGGACTACGTGGCCCTGCAGACCAAGGGTGCCCTGCAGAAGAAGCCACTCTACGTGGCCTTTAGCTTTATGTATATCCTGGTGGGGCTGACGGTCATCGGGGCCTTTCTCAACCTGGTCGTCCTCAGGTTCTTGACCATGAACAGCGAGGACGAGAGGCGCGACGCCGAGGAGAGGGCGTCCCTCGCCGGAAACCGCAACAGCATGGTCATCCACATGCCCGAGGAGGTGCGGCCAGGCCGGCCCAGGTACAAGGCGGACGTCGGGGACCTGCAGTCTGTGTGCTCCTGCACGTGCTACCGCTCGCAGGACTATGGCGGCCGCTTGGCGGCGCCACAGAACTCCTTCAGTGCCAAGCTTGCCCCCCACTACTTCCACTCCATCTCTTACAAGATCGAGGAGATCTCACCAAGCACATTAAAAAACAGCCTCTTCCCATCCCCCATTAGCTCCATTTCTCCTGGGTTACACAGCTTTACCGACAACCATAGGCTGATGAGACGACGGAAGTCTGTCTAGGTGTGGGGAGGGAAATAGAAGAGTCCTTTGTCATAGTGGACGTTGAGTTCCATTGGCCCAACTCGTCTTTTCTTCCTTATTTATTTATTATGATTATTCTTTATTATTATTGTCATCATTATTACTTTCTCTCCTTCCTCCTTTCTTGGTCTCTTAGTCTCATCCTCCCCCCTGCCTTTCCAACCAGACAGAGCAGGCCAAAGGGAAAATAAAGGCCCGTCCTCCTCTGAAACTCGCATCTGAGCATGAAGCATGGATTCCCTCCTTCCTTCCCAGCAGAGTATGCCTTACATTTCTCCCCCAACCTACCCCGTCTCTGGGGTGGTTGTGCCAGGACAGGTGTGAGACCAGGACCATGGAGACAGAGCTGAGAGGATACCCAACCCAAAGTCGCACACCAAGCTAAGAGCCTTCGATTGCCCACCCATAGTGGTGTCTGACCTAACTCCTTTCTCCCCAAGGACTGGGTAGCTCGTGTGTGTGTGTATGTGTGCGTGTATGCGCGCTTCTGTGTGCGTGTGTATCATGTGACAATATGGAAAGTATCAGGTATTCATTTTTCTTTCCCACCCCCCATCAAAGCCCGCTTTTGGCTGCTTCCAAACAAAATGGAAAAACAAAACCCGTGAGGTTTCTGATTTATCATCTTGCCAAATCAAGCATGTTTCATAAGCAGTCTTTATCCCAGATGTGTCATGGTCATATTTTTTAAAATGCTAGGTTCTAAATTATATTAACTTTTTTTAGGGGGGCGGGTGGGCAAGACAACCTGGATCATTTTAGCTTGCCAGTTCAAAAATTTTTAAAAAGCATGCACTTTGTTAAACTGGTATGCATTATCAACACAAGAAAACGAAACTAGCAATGGAATAATCAAAAGCCAATACTATTAATTTATTGATGACATTTGAAATCTTATCATCTCCAGTTCCAACAATTTACCATGCAACTGGAATTGTCAGGGAAACTGGAAAATTGTTGGAACCACACAGTATCTATTTTATTATTTCCCTGTTGGATGATGATGATTTTGTGCAGCGTTTACTGCATAAATAAGAATTATAGTTTTGGAATGCTTGGGTGAGAATGGGTATTGGTATGTGGATGTGGTTTCTTTTCCTAAAAAGTGACAGGGCATTCCTCATTTAAAAAAAATATATACATATATATACTACATATATATTTCAGGAAAGATTGTCTCTAATTGCATTTGATATGTAAATAAAGGAAAGTTCATGTTGGTCTCAGGAAGAGCTTAGAGGCAAGGAGCTGTGTCTTGGCCTACTGGGAACTTACCAATCTCAGGGGACAATTTTGTCTGAGTAGTGGAGAAATTCTTCCCAACTCTCAATAGGGGATGACCCCAAAGGGAAGAAGACCTGCTAACCTCTTGGGGGACAGTTTAGGCTGTAGAATCTGGCACATTAGAGGCCCTTACAATGGCAGGAATAAAGGACAGTTTGACCTCCAAATTCAGTGAGGGAACTTTAATTTCCCCCATTACCATCTCTGCCATTTCTAAAAATCACCCATCTACCCATATCCCCCTCCACTCTTTTTTCGTAAACTGGAAGTTCATGGCTCTTGGATGGAAGTGGACTTTGGCTGTACTACTCAGAAGGAGCACGTTTATGGGCCTGTCTCAAGGCCCCAGCGAGATCTCCCAGAAAGGAGGCTTTGCTCCTTAGAGTAGACCTACAGGATTTCTTAAAGGAGACAGCACCCGAATGCCACCAGTCCCAAGCATTTGGGCCATTGGGCTGAAACACAGGAGCATTCAAGACTCCTCTGAAAAGGATGTGCATGTACTTTAATGCTACATTCCGTGTCGAAATTTCCCCTTCGTCTAGGACACAGGGCCTTCGAAGGAGTCTGCGAACCTCAGATTCTCTAGGCCAAAGTTGACAGTTCTCAACCTTCAAGGTCTTTGTCAGTTCACTCATTTTAAGATTTCATGTGTTATGGAATGCCCTATTTATGGCTCTAAAGTCTGTCCAGAGAATAGAAGCAGTTGTTCTTTTTAAACGTTTTTTTTCCTCTTGGGAGAGATTGTTGGCTATAGGGGGGGGTCAAAGGTGTAAAAATGCTAATGCATTTGCAAGTGCTTTATGCTTTGGAGGAAGCTGCCTGGAATAAATGTGGGGGTTCTCATGAAAACCTTTGTAAGATGTGCCTTCAAATGGGGGTGTGTGCGATAATCTTTGATCTATAAATGACACTGAGGCACTGAGCGGATGAGTGATTTGCTCAATATCACAGAGCTGGTTGTTGACAGAACTGAGACATAGCTCAGTCTGGAACCCAGAAGAGCTCAAGAAGCTGACTCCACCACACCGTGATGTCCTAACTCAACCCTCAGTTGAGAGCGCTTGCCTCCGTTTCTCCACAGGAGCTTGCACCAGGCCCTTGGAGTCAGAGGGACCTTGACTCAACCCTGCATACAGAGCTGGCTTCCCCACTAAAATATCCATGTAAATTGGTCATACAGTGGCCATACTTCTGCTTGAATGCTTTGAGTAATGAACTCCTCTCTTCCCCGGGGAAATATAGAGAACATTCTTTATTCTGTAGGATTATGGGATGAAATTCTTTTTTCATGTGATGACCACTGACTTAAGTATCTGAGGCAATGTACAATGTGTCTTGGTTCTATTCCTCTCCTGTGTCTTCTGCTCTTTGCTCCCAGTTCAACCCTTTGAAGGATGTTCACTGTATCTTCTCTTCCCAAGTTAAATATCCTTGTTTGTGCTCAAAGCGTCTAGGGGTTGGAGGTAAACGTTGGTTTGCTTCCCTTATGATGTTCATCTTTTTCTCATATGGTCCATCCATTTCCTACCATGGTTTCTGGCGAAGGAGTTCTCTAGGTACATGCCATGAAGCACTCTTGGAGTTGTGGGGGGCAGGGCAGGGGAAAGGCCCAAGTTAAGGGCCTCCAGGGTTCTTTCCTGATGAAACAAAACTGGGGTTTCTTTGTTTAGAGTTCCACCACTCAATCAGCATTAGAATCAGATCTTCAAAACCAGGAGGAGGCTTCGTCTGAGTCATTTCACTGAACTCTCATTTTCAGAGAGGAAAATTAAGGTCCAGAGTGGGTGAACACTTGTCTAAGGTCACACAGCCAGAATCTAGATTTTCCTTATTTCTCTTTCTACCATTCTCCTGTCTACTTTTGTTGTTGTTCACAGCCTTCTGAAGATCCCTTGTTGGAAATTTTGATGTCTCAGGCCTGGGTCTGTCTTCTTTGCTTTTGCATCTGGTAATTCCTCTTTCATCCAGGTGATTTGCATACCCTTCTTCCAGTTAACTGTGCCCATTCATCAGGGAACAAAATCATAGCAGGTTGTTTGGATGCAGGATTTACCTTCCATTAGAATGAATTTGGGAAGAGCCACGTTCTACCGGAATCATGAGAGGATGGCCCATCAGCCAATGTCTGGAAATCAACTTGTTTGTAGGTACTGAGCGTGATTTCTGATTCTCACTTGAACTCTTTTTTAACTAAGAGCTCTTGATTTTCATCTCTCCATTCCATCAAAGATAAGAGAAAGGTGGGCAGTGGGATTGACTATCTCTGAGATTCTCTGCTTTCTAGAGACCATTTTGCTGTAGTCTTCTTTGTACCCAGCCTGAGCAGAAGGTGCTGTCTTGGCTGGCAGCCTGTTAGATTCTTTTTTACACAGGAGGGAACCAACCTTTCTGGGTTTTGAGGTACCTGGTTGGCCCCAAAGCTAGTATCAGATCTGTTCTTTCTGCACCACTCTGTCTTGAAACCAAGACAGTATCATTAAGCACAGCAAGCTGCCTGGTACTCTAAATTTAAACTCTTTCTGAAGCATCTGTGTGTTCCCACTGTGCATCACTGATTGGGAGGGGAGTGCCTGCACTGAGGCATGATCACAGCAGGTCATTTGCAGCCCAGGAGTCCCACTGGGTCCATCATCTTTCCAGGAGAGGAGGCAGATGGACACAGACCACTACCCAGAAGAGCCTCCTTGGGAGGCCCCATTAAAACCCCACCCATAAAAAAGGGAGGTGATGAATTAATCTTGGTTCACCTCTGTGTTCTCTGCACAGAGGGCCTTGAGAAAACATCTGGTTGGTAATTCACAAGCCCACCGATAAACCTCAGCAGGTCATTTTTCTCTGCCTCATCCATATTCAGACGCCTCTGGGACCTACTTCCCAGTGACAATCCTTGCAGCTGGCGAAGACTTGTTCAGAGGGCTCCAGCATCTGTGCATTGGGTGGGAGAGGAAGGTGAGAGGAGAAGACGATCAAAGGAAAATCACCCATCATGGAGATTCATGGCCCCATTTTTTTTTTTTTTTTCAATATTCTTTTTCAAATAATAGGTCCTAACTAAGGTATCATTTGAGGCCCTCTGCTGAGGCGTGAGTCTGGAACATGTCTGTTCTGTCAGTGCCGTGGGCACAGTAATTGGTGAAATGCACTGGGGAACTGTGGCTTTGTCCTGAAAGTGGTGAAATTTGGGGTCTGTCCCATGCAGGCTAGCTGCCTGAGGGGCTAAAGTGTGTGTCTTCCAGGGTCATGGTCTGCGTGGGAACCAGGAAGCATCCTAGGTGAGGGAAGGGTGGCAGAGCAGGGACCCTTTCATTGTGTCTTGCTCCACTGGGCTCTTGGAAGTCATTTCACTCCCTGGGCCTCTGAAGCTTCCTTGTCAACACGGTGGGACAGTTTGGGTGGGATTTATGGGCACTTAGCACTACATGAATTTGACCCACAGTGACATTTGGCCTGAATATTCTGATCCCTGGGCACATTTGAAGGTTGAGCCAACTAACCAAAGATCATTTAGTTTGGCAGGGAATGGGGAGCTGGGAAGATGGAGAGGCACAGGCAATGACAGAGAGAGTCGTGGTCATCACAAACCAAGGCCAAGTGCATTTCTGGCCTCTCCAAAGTGCTGAGCATAAATCCATTTATGTGGTTCTTTCTTGACCACCCCCCGATACAGGCTGCTGATTCAGGAAAACAATCTATGACTGTGATTCCTCCCACCCATTTTCTATTTAGAAAATTTCAGAGTTACAGAAAAGTTTAAATAATAGCCCGAAGAGCTCCCCTAAACCTCTCATTCAGACCTACCAGCCCCGTAGTTTGCCATCTTCCCTTAATCTCCTACTCCCCTTTCTCCCACCCCTCTCCCCTCTTTCTCCCTCCCCTTCCCACCCCTACACTCAGAGATGTTTTTAGGATAAAATGTTGTCATGTCTGCAACTTTTTGGTGGTTCAGCCAAAGAAAAAGTTGTCTATCTGCCATGAACGAAAGCACTCCCCTACACCACAGTGCCATTGTTACACCTAGAAATGTAGCATTCATACGATAATATTGTCTAATATAATCTGTATATAAAATCCCCTAATTGTCTCAGAAATGACTTTTTGTGAGTCTAGGATATAATCTCGTATCACAACCCACACTTGCTTATCTTGTTGTGTCATGTTGCCCCAATTTATTACACCTCTCCCACCATTTTTGTGTTTTACGATGTTGACACTTTTGAAGAGTCCAGGTCAATGTCTTGTAGGATGCCCCATAATCATCTCTGTCTGTTTCCTCAGGTGAAGGAATTTTGGGCAAGGAAACAACCTAGCGGATGTTGTGTAGCCACGATCTATGCACTGGATGTTTGGCTCTCTGGGGACCACTGTGATTACTGCTTTCATTGTGGATAAATAAGTCATATTAAATGTTGTTTTCCTCTGTTAGGGGAACTAACTGCACATTCAAGAGAGGCGTCCGTGGATGCTGGGTCTCACTGCCAAAGCTGAGCAAGGCTTCGGGATTTCTGCCTTCTCACATGGACCGCGGCTGTGCTGGGCGTGCGTCAGTACTTGTTCCCCTAAACACCTGTGGGGATGGTCCAGCTATACATAGACAGAGAGCCCAGAGGAATGCTTGTTGTGAGGGTCCCTGCAAACCTGTCGGGGCATTTTGGCACCAGGTAACTCCTCAGTGAGTGCCAATGACAGCCAAGTCCTTCCTCTCATTAATAATCCTAACGATGTGATTTGTTATGGCAGTACTCTTGACTGTGAAGGGCTATAATATGTGACCTCTGTCCTTGAGATATTTGCTCTGGCATGTTCTATAGCACAGCCTTATCCATTCTGATAGCACAAAGCTATCTACCTGCTGTGGCTAAGTAACCTTTCATTGTGATCAATAAAATTTGTCCACCCAGGTCGCCCCTCTGCTCCTATGCCTATGCTGTTCCCGCTCCCTGTTGCTCTCCAGCTTGGAGGTGGACATCTCACACCTCCTTTCAGTGACTCCTCAACCCCTCCCACCCAGTGGACTTAGCGATGTCCTCCTCTGCCACCTCCCCACCCCAGGCCTTGTATCTATAATGCACAAACATACTGTGCAGCAAACCTCCCACGGCCCGAACCTTAGGAACAGAAGCAGGTGTTGGGCAGCCCCCACAGAGGGGCGGACAGTCCCAGGAATCAAGACAATTCGATTTCTAGCATCTCGCCCAAATGGTTGTTCATCGCCATAATCAAGGCATGTCTTAACTTGCCGAAGTGGAAACGGGGTAACTGGATGCAGGCATTTACTTCATCCCTGCAAACCAATCCAAATCTACGTGATGAAAACCCATTGTCACACTGTTGGCTCTTCACTGGCACTTGCCTGGCAGGGCTGAGTGCCACAGGCAATAGGGCCAGGAGCTGTCCACACTAGGCATTTCCCTTAAGACGGGCAATGGGGACGTCTTCTGACTCCAGGAGCATGCTCGTGACATGTCACCCTGAAGTGGATGGGTCCTGTGATGGGAATGTCATCAGGGAACTGGGCCTGCACCATTTTTTTGTGGCA